GCAATCAATATATTATTTTCATCGGATGGGGCCACTTTATAGCTTTTAACATTTACTCTAGGGTATTTATATACTGAAAATCGTTTAAATTGTTGTTTTGTTGTTATAATAAATATTGTGGTCTTTATATGTTTATATTAGGGATGCACTGATAGTAGGCATGTTCAGATACCAAGTACCGTACTGGGTACAAGTACATGTACAGATACTTTTCCAGCTCCAAGACTAGAGAAAAATTCAAAAGTTAGGAGGCAGCTGTCATTTGTAAGGAGCACACGGAGCTCCTGGGATTTGAGCATCCCTGTTTTAATGTATGATTTTTTTAAATAAATATATATTAGGGATGCACCGATACCATTTTTGGAAGTACAAGTACTGATACTTGTCCAAGTACTCAGATACATTTTTGTTTGTTGTCATGTGACAGCTTTTCTAAAACTATACAGACCAATGATTTCAGGACAGTGGTGGAACGCCAGAGCTAGGTCCCAGCTGCAACCGCTGCAACCTTGGTAGTTGTCGTGAAAATGCCAAGTATCGGCAATGGTATCTGAACATCCCTAACTGATAGTAATACTAGTATCGCTGCAGGGCATTTTCACGAGTATTTGTACTTGTGAAAATGCCCTGATACTAAGCGCCGGTACCGCTTTAAATGTTTACACAGGTTCAACTGCCTGAGGTACCGCACTTCCTGGGAACCTCAGGTAGCCTTGTGGGGACCACTTGGCAGCCGTCTTTGACAGCGCCCAGTCCAGCCACACATCTCATCTTCCCCACTGCCCGCAGAGACAGGCACAGCCCTGGTCAGACCCACGGGCAGCCCTGGCGAGCAACACGGAGTATGTAGCTTTTTTCTTACCCCATGAAAGTATGTATTACAGTGGCCACAGCCAGATAACTGGTCACCATAACCAGCCTCACTCAACAAAGGGTTACAATACGTTGCAGCAGTCTAAAACTGTACAAGATCTGGCTTCCTCGATAAACACATTCCCTCAACTGCGTCACCTATTCGAGTTCTCAGGGCTCATTATGCAACAACAAAACCTGTTGGCGTGATCACTGGAGTTAACAAGTGTTTAACCTGTCAGTCAACAAAAACACCTGCTTACATGCAGCATGTTCAAGACTGAAGAATGACTCTGAGACAGCGAGAGATTCCTGAGATTGTGTCAAGCATTAGCAGAGAGTATTCACACCATATCCTATTGAAGATAAATGGGAAAAAGAGGACAACTAAAGAGCGGTTAACAGTAATGATGTGCTGGGGCTTGGCAGGAGCCCAGTTGCCCAAGTCTGTGCAAAATGGTCACTGCCACAACCCCCTCCCAGCTCAATCAGTTGTGGCTAAGGTATTCCCTGCTACACATCGCAAAAGGACGGGGAATGCTCCTGCCACAACCGTTCGGGCTGATAAGGGGGTGCATCAGTGAATGTTTTGCGTGGGCTTAGACAAACTGCAGGGCACCCACATCCCGCATGTCCTTACAAGTTGCAAGAGAATTTCCACCCACATACCAGTTTATTTGTGATGCTTTCTTATCAGTTACGTAGTCATCACAAGTGAGCTCTAATGCAGCCTCTCCTAACAAGGGTTCCCTGGTACTCTAGGGGTTCTCCAGAAGTTGCTAGCAGTTCTGCCTCTCAGATAAGTTCCCACTGCAATCTTTTTACATATTTGTAAGACATGCACGGGTGTCTCATTTGCAACCTGCTAGGCAAAGGAAACACCTGTAAACAGGACGGGCCACTGTACACGGCCTGAAAAAAATAAATTACGTGGGGCAGTGTAGGAAAAAAAAAAAGAAGAGGGGAAAAAAAAAAGGAAAAGTACATGTGGTGAGTAAAAAATAAATTTAAAAAAACGACTGTTTAATATCACTTTAACACTGACCATCACAATGTAGTGATGGTCAGTGAGCTGTAGATATTGTTTTTATTATCAGAGGTTCACTGAGCCTGGAAAATTATTTCAAGGGTACTTCAGTGTTAAAAAGATTGAGAAAGGCTGCTTTATGACTAAACTCAATGAGGAATTTTTAATTGCTAAGCAGCAACCAATTAACTTTTTGTAGACAAATGTTACATAATTAAATTGGATAACTGCAAATAAAGTGTCCACATGGCTGCTGTTAATAGCTGCTTCCCACAATACAGTATCTTCTCACTCCCTAAAGTATACCTAAAGCAAAAATGTAATATTTTGCAGTTTATTAATCCTTAAATGTGGCGGTTACATTACTTTTCCTTCTTCACCTGGTGATCTGGCCAGTATGTCTGTTATTGTTCAACTTCCTTTAACAGACCAAGCTGTCCAGCAAAGCGGAAGTTAGAGGTTTGAAACAAACCATTTAATACTGACAGTGGAGCTTACAATAGTCAGCTTTTATTCAGTTATGAAAAAAACTTTGTTAAAAAAACGGGAAAAAAAAAAAAAAAAACAGTTGCTGTAACTGCCTTAATCCTGGTGTAATCTGTACCAGATACTGGTACCTGCGGGTCTCAGAATATTAGGATTCGAGCCGCTGAGCTCCTCCGTGGAACGCAGCGACCTACGGCGCCTCTTCCTCACACAGGTCGCCGCCTGCGTTCTACGCTGGAACGCAGCGGCTCCGTGGCGCGTCATGCGGCTACTCTGCTTTTCACTTACGCGGTCGCGATAAGAGAGGGGTTGGGAGGATTGCACGGCGTTCTACTATTCTGGAGTGTGCGCCCTGCAACTCCCGAACCCCACTGAAGAACTTAACTGTAGCTTGGAGCCTGAGACCCGAGTCAGCTGGACTGCCCGCCTATGCCACCCCTGGATCATTGTACCCTGCATTAGCCATATGTTAAGAGACTGTAAACACTACTGTGTAATTCACCTGCTGGATCTAGGGAGTGCAGTCCCTATTACTCTTAGTTGCATTATTGATAAGCCTCATCCTGCGGTGGCTCAGATGAAGTTATTAGGAATTATACTGTTTGATCTGCCTGTTGGTTATATTAACGTTGCTCATACTTACCTGTACAATACCTTGTATGCTACGTATAACTTCATCTCTCGCCACGTGCACTGCCCTACCAAGGTATCCGCTACCCCGTTGTCTATAGGACTACCATCCCCATCGGCTCCCCCTATGAGCGGGTTCTGGACTTCTTCAACTAATTATTCCTAGCGTACCTACAATGTATGCTTCACCTCCCGAAGGGTATGAAGTAATACCCTTCTGGCTAGTACATCTGTTACGCATTATCCATTAGACTCCATCTTAGGCAAATTATGTCAGAATTCCTAACTCTCCGTTTCTACAGGTGCCCATACACCTTACAATTATCTGCAGATTTTCTGTGGTCAGATGGAAAAAGTGCAACAGATTGGCCCAGGTGGAGATTACTCCATCCACACAGTTAAGTGTAGATGGAGGAATCTGTTGGAACCTGTTCTGACCACAGAAAATCTGCAGATAATTGTAAGGTGTATGGCCAGCTTAAGATTGAAGGTGACGCCTGGAATTTAGTACTGATTGCCCTATTTACATCCATCTGTGGTACTCACCTTGAGAAACATACTCCGCAGCTGTGGTCCATCTGCGCAGTCCCATGGGGCGTTACACAGTACCAGTAACTTATCTCCACTAAAGACGTCCACAAAAACATCACAGCTCACATAGCACAAGATTCAATTTATGACCCTGAGAACACTGCAGTTATTTGTAAGCAATGTGACTTAGAGCAATGGTATGTGGGAATGGACACGCTTGATTAAAATCACATTGTAACACGTGGTAGGTATGTGATGACAAAATTCTTGCGTTCCTATAATCTATGAACTAGTTACCTGCACAATGATCAGGGGACCACAAAGTAAAAACATAAATAATATGGTTTGTTTTTTTACAACTATACCATAGTATCTTTTTAAAATGTATACATTAGATCTGATATTCTGAACTCAGTTCAAACTTTGTGGAATAAAATAGTGTGCATGGCCACCAGTCAATGCCCTGGTGGAGGGGTGCAATAGACCTCTGGTCTCTTAAAAGAAATCTGTGCCAAGAAAAAACATGGAGGCTGTTCTTGCTGACCCCCATGTAAAGTACTAGTTGCTGTAATGCGGATTCTCTGACTTCAACACATTCCGAGATGGGCTTTAAAGATTTTAAAAGCATGATTTCTCTATCCCCTTACACAGGCCAATAATAAAGGAGTCAAAGAAGCCCTCAAATGCGAATGATTGATGCATCAGGAGTAGTGGTTGGCCTGGGCATGGTGTGAACCCAGCTCACCCGAGTGAGCCTAAACCTGCTCAAAACTATGACCGCCAAACTCGCCTCCTGGCCCAATCAGTTGCAATAGTCATATTTCCCACTCCACAGTTATTTGCAGATTTTCTATGGTCAGATGGAAAAAGTGCAACAGATTCCTCCCATCTACGCTAAACTGTGTGGATGGAGGAATCTCCCTGGGGGCCAAGCTTCAGCATCTGGCTAGTCCGCCCCGCTGGCTCTCAATATACCTGAACAATCTGATTGGATGCAGACATTGTTCAGGTATATTGAGAGCCAGCGGGGCGGACTAGCCAGATGCTGAAGCTTGGCCCCCAGGGAGATTCCTCCATCCACACAGTTTAGCGTAGATGGGAGGAATCTGTTGCACTTTTTCCATCTGACCATAGAAAATCTGCAGATAATCTATAGGTGTATGTCCAGCTTTAGGTGCATTGAGTTTGCACCTTGGCCCAGGCTCATCATTAATCAGGTGCAGTGGGAACACTCCTAGCTTGGAATACCTATGTGAGTGGAAAAGCTGGAACTATAGCAGCAGATCTTACTTCTGTAGTCCCCAAGATGTGTCATCTTACCTCATTCTACACTTGCATAATCACTATTATCAGAAGGCTGACCCTTTAAGAAGTACTGCAAGTCCTAATTTTAAGCACACAAAAGAAAAATGCACTGCCATGAACATCATGCTGGTGTTTGATCAATATTCCAATTCGAATAGAGATTCCGTACCTGGTAAAGGAGTTTCTCCAAGGACATTCCATCCACTGGGCAACTTTAGATGTTTGAAAGCCAATGTGATCTTCTTATCCAAAATGGTCACATCCCCAGGACGCGGCTGTGCACTGATCAGGAACCTAGCAAAATTCAGGGCCTGCTGGTTGGTGGCATTGGCTGCTAGAAACTGAGCAGAATCGTACGCTTCATCGTGGATGAATTCAAAGCTCTCCTCTCCCAACACAACCACCGAGCCTTTCTTGGACACGCACAGTGAGACAGTTACAATCTCACAACAGCCGTGGGCTGAAAGAGAAAAGATTCATGAAATAACATTTAATGAGGATTCAATCTGAATGGTATAAAATCAAGCAATCTTCCAATTCTCATTAAACTGGCAGATGTTTCCCATTCAGTAAACATTCACCGTTCTCTTCACCTACCATATATAGAAAAAGCCTGTGGTTGCAAAATGTATGCAGAGGACTGCATGAATCAGAGCATTGGCTCATTCCTCATCAAAGGGCAGGTTCAGCATTTGTATCTGAAAGAGCCATCTCAGATGTGCTGTCTCTAACAAAACATAGTGCTTTGAGAATCCTTTGTCATGTATTAAATATTTATTTTGTAACACAGATTATGCACAGAGCAAAAAAACAAAAAAACAGATATCAGTACAAACCTAAAAATAATCAACAAAACTGTTCCATAACCATTAAGTGTGAAGAACATTATCTTCCTTCTTCTGACAGGAGGTTTAGAATTCAAATTCAGTCCATTAAATGCTTCAGCAGCATTCTAAATCCCATCTGACGAATGGCGATAACCTGAACTTAGAGCTGTGTCTGTGTACAGCCATAACACAACACTTGCACATTCACCGCCATGCACACATTCGTACAGTGCTTGTTCTCTAGAAGATCATGGCCAAGTTCAGCAGGATGTAGTCAGCATAATTCTGCACCTAGTGTTTGCTTAAAGTGTCAGCCCTGCCAAAACTTTTTATTTGGAATTTATTTACATGTCAAACCAAATTTTTTCTAGTTTTGGATCAAGTGGAGAAGGAATAGGAGCCCTGTCTGGTCTCCAACAACAAAGATGACTGCTTTTTTTTTTTTTTCTCCTTTTCTTTTTGTAGAGTAGGGGAAGGCTAAAACCCCTCTCAGCTTTTTATTGCGTTTAGTATTATATGATAATAGGATGTAATATAGTCCTGTCAGAATGAATTCATACATAAACAATTTCACTCAATCTTATATAGTGTCCTTTTGCAAAAAAAAGTCCACAAATGGTGATAATCAAATAAATCATGGTACATTCCTTATAATCACTTGCTTTAAGATAAGTCAGTTGGTAAAACAATTATTGCATATGAAGTCCACTGTGACTTCTGTGCTTTACTCCACCATCAAATAATTCCCGGTGATCCACCTCCTTGTGCGCAACCACTAGCACACTCACCAGATACTCCAGACCACCGAAATAGTCTATAAACGCTCTGTACACTTCCCTGGCGACCAATGTCTCCCTCTCCACCAAATCACCGACAGCTGAAACACTCTGCACAGGGTCTCCCTCAGATCTCTCTCATTTTCTCAGGAATAGAAAACCAGAATCGCACATAGTGTAAAACTCCCAGATGATAATTTATTCACAAAAAATCACAACACTTTACATTTTAAATATTCAGCTCTGTAAAATCACATACTCAGCTGGTGACGCTTCTTTGGGGTCCTTATGTGACATTAGGAGTCTGAAAGACCCCTGATGTCCCCAGAAAAAGGTCCTGTCACATCATATTACATAGGGGGCTTTTTACATAGGGGGCTTTTTAGCGATAGCATTGAAGTTAAGTGTAAAAAAAATGAAAATGGAACATATAAAAATGCAAAAAAAGTTTTTAAAGTTTAAAAACTCCAAGTGTAAAATCCAAGTGTCCAAGTGTAAAATGTGGTGTTCATCAAATTAAGTTACACGTGAACCACTGTCATAAAGCTGCCGAAAAAAAGAAAAAGAGAAATTGCATACAAATTCTTATTGTTTAGCGATGAACAGTGGAAAAACCTACAATTTTTCTGTTTCTGCTTAAATTTAAATCTCTATCCAAAAGCAGAATACATTTAAGAGCTGTCCTTGGTGGTGTGCTTAATTGTTACAGCCATAATCAGAGAACATTTAGTTTTCCTTTATGTTTTGTTAATCCAGACACAGAGCTTTGACATAAATATCTTTTAAATAGTTAACAGATGTATGCCTAAGCACTCTTTTAAAGGGACTGATTGGCAATTATGTGCTCACAATGTATTTTTTAGAATTCTACATGGCAGTGTTCATGCAGCTTCTGCTTTTAATATGGACGTCTTGTGTAGCGCGTTGCTGGCTGTAGAGTTCTGCCAATGCTACTCTAATTGGATTAAAGATTAAATTGTGTTGAGACATAATGACATTGCATAGTGTCATCTATCTGTGAAAATAATCAGGGGAACTCCACGGCTTGCTCTGCACACTGCAGGGCCAGGAGATTAGTGTAGCTTTCATGAAACTGCAAAATGTTCTTTGTGTTTTTCTTGTCTTTTCAAAAATCATGTACACTTCATGTGTTCAAAGCATACATATGAAGCCTGCATCGTTCTGAAATGGATGAAATACAGCAATGATAACATGACAGCAAGGAAACAAAAATCACAGAACAACCTGTTTCCACGAGTTATACTTCATCAAGACAAACATCACTCACATACACAATTCTATATATTTTAATTTATGATTTAAAAGCAAACTGAAATTATTTAAAGTCCTTTTATTTTAAACCAACATTCCAAGCAGCATTGCAAATATAAGCTCTTGCCACTGCCGTTTGTTTGTCTGTGCCTTCAAAGCTTCTATCACAGGCTCAGCACAGTGTAAACATTGCTATATTTATGTTCAGCTTGTCTGCAGCTTGCACTTTAACCGCAGACAATGAGTGAAAACAAGGAAGGCTCAACATACCCATTTGATTCAATCATTTAACTGCCAGGAGTAAAATATTGTTTGTTTGCTACACTGTACTGATGCAATCAGTGAAGATCACAAAACAGGCCAGAAGCAAGCAGCTCTTGTATAAGTTTAGCTATAGTGTAGACCCTGTATGTCTCCAGACCTGAACAAGGACGGTATAAGGGATGGCCCTGGGTGTGCGTTCTGCTTACCACAATTGGTTAAAGTTATATATAAAGAGGGTACAGACAAGGTTTAGCTAAAATCAAACAGAAATTGTTTTCCAATAGCAGTTTGTGATCTCAAATGACTTCTTATGTGCACTGCAGCATACTAAAGTATTGTATTAAGGTGGTGTTCTCTATTTGAGGGGGTTAAAGTGTTTATTTGAATGGAGCAAATAGAAAGACGTATATGCCATTCTTGTTTTTCCAAATTTTACATACAAACACAACGCTACTACACAACTCAATTTCTTAAGCAGTGTCATAATATCATGTAGGGAACATCCCAATATTCCTGTGCCTCAGTCTACGTAAACCAGCTTGGTTTTGTGAATTAGCTAGCTGTGGTCATACTGGATTTTAATTTCTTAACTTTGAGGAAAACTAATAAAAAACCTGGGACATGGACATTTTGGGATGGTTAGGGGAGACAATACAAAAACTACACATCGACAGCAGACAAGAACATTTAATCCCTATCATTAGCTAAGCAAATAGGTAATAGTATGGATAATAAGTCTAGGTTCAGTTACATTATAGGTCTATATCCAAAACAGCTAAATAAGTGTATTAAAGATGAGAATTTGAAATATTGCTTTAGAAGCAAGATGCTCTGCAATGTTCTCTCCTTCTCCCACTTCTCTTTAATTCACAGTGTGGCCAGGTGACACCAAAAGAAGGTGACATGGACATATATGGGGTGAAAATGAATGTCAAATTCAGAGCAATCTTAAGCTGGCCAAACACAGGATGAACATTCTTCAATAATTCAGGCATTGTATGTGTCTAAAATGTTTCTAAGACATGGAATTCTCTGGAACAGATCTAGATTCATGGTAACAGCACATCAGTCAAAAGTTGTAAGCCACTAAAATTCAGAAAACTACACTTCTAATCAATACCTAGTATAGTGCTTCTGCAACCAAACATCCAGCACAATGCTCGACAGGCTTGGCCAACTTTCGTATGTCGAAGGAATATGACATAAGGCCGGGACAATAACTGACCTCCGAGTGCTCGACATTGAGAACGTACAAGGCCTGCTTTTGCAAGAAGCAGATCTGGCCACAGAAGACATACTCTAGCCAGATTTCACTCCATTTCAGACTTACTGCACCTAAACTCACACATTTTTGTTTTTTAAAATGTAAATGTATCTTAACCAATTTAACATGATGATCTGGGTGCATAGGTAGAAAGTTGACATGACAGATGTTTTTGTCCAAAGAAAGCAACGTGTGACTAAATACAGTAGCAGCCATTGCTTTGTTTTATATGACCGGATTTAGATTTATAAAATGTCCTTTCTACTGCCTACAATGTATGAAACGAGTGTGATTAGAGTTCACACAAAGGAGCTGGACATACAATGGTTTGTCAATCTTTTACACCAACATTATACCACCGTATTGCCCAATAATGCAAAGCTTGTCCTGCTTTCTGAAGTTTATCTGATGACAACCTCTCTGAGGTCATATGAGGTTCTTCGGTCGCCTGCTCTACACCTGAACTGCTTTCATTTATATCCTATTTTAGATAATGTTGTACCGCTAAACTGACAAATGCAATTTGAGAAAATACATGAGCATTAAACTCCATATTAATCATGAGATCTCTAAATCCAGGGACCACTTCTACATCCTCAAACAGGGAATTGTCTCCTCTACAATGACTGGCTGACTGGTGGCCTGCGTGTCCTCAAATGACTTGCTGCCAGGTCTTGCCACAACCATTATTTTCGATTTGGTTAAGTGATAAATTTGGAGCACACACTGTAACCCCCCGATATTCTTTGCAAAGAGTTTTTCCAGCATGTCGGAGAATGTAATTACAATTGCTTTCAATGACCAAGGCATTCATTAAAATGGCAGGTCAGTACCTATATATGGATAAACATGAGACATTGCTCTTGCTTTAACTGAGCCATATAAGACCAGCATCGGAGACATCTGAACGCTGACCAAATTACTACTTTCTAAAAAAAAAAACCTTCCAGTGAAAGGCCATATGGGGACTGATTAAAGCAAACAAAGTGGCAAATTCATGCATAGTTTGAGACAATTGTGCTGTTGTGTAAAGGTTCAAGAAAAAAAAAAAAACACT